CAGGGACAGGGGTCAGTGCCCATGCCAAGGGGCTGGTGGGCACTGGGGAGAGGGGTCAGTGCCCATGCCAAGGGGCTGGTGGGCACTGGGGACATGACTTTACCAACATGGGGGGGCAGCTAGGGGTGGAAAACCTGGCCACCAAGAGGTCCCGGCTGATGGTGAGGACAGACCAGCTTCCCTGGGGAGAATCTGGGGAGGAGGGGGTCAGACCTGCAGGTGTGACCCTCTCCCCACTCCTGGCACCAGCATGGCCCCATTGCCCTCACTCACCAGCTGTCAGCGAAGTTGTGGTGCCTGTTGCTGTGTCCACCACGAACACGTCCTAGGGGCATGAGGGCAGAGCTCAGTGCAGCCCTGACCCAGGCAGGCTCCCCTTGTGTCCCCCAGCACCCCCTCACCTGCTGGCTGCGCTGGGCCGTGTCCAGCAGGATCCTGCGGCTGTCGGCCGCCCAGCACATCCCTGGCAGTGCGCCACAGTAGATTCCCGGGAAGGCACCTGTGATCAGAGTGCTAGTACTCAGCATCCCCCTGAGTCTCCCCCAACATGCCCAGAGCTGTACTCACCCCATGCTTGCCGTGGCACAGCCTCCAGCACCGTGCTGGTGTGTTTGGTGTACCAGTCATACTGCAGGAGACATGGCATAGGGCAAGTTTTGCAGGGTCTCAGCCTGCCTGCCCCCACTGCAGCCCAAGGAGGGGACACCACTGCCCTCCCCAGCCCCACCCTAGCATGGGCACCATGGCACCTTCTTGGTGCCTGCCAGTGTCCCCCTGGTGCTGCTCACCATGCGGAGTCGGCTGCACTGCTGGTGGGGGCCCAGGACATTGTTCTCCAGGTAGACGATGCGGCAGCCATCAGGGCTGAGTCGTGGTGACCACACGGCCTTGGCGTCCTCAGAGAGCAGCTCTGCATGGGCATGAGGGGACGGTGAGGGGACGGTGAGGGGACGGTGAGGGGTGGCAGGGGAACAAGGGCACCAGCAGGACTGGGGCGTTCACTGCTCACCACATCTCCCGCCCGTCAGGTCCACGTAGAAGAGCGCTGACCTGCCAGCACAGAGGGGTGTCACATTGGGTTCGGGGGGCCAGGCTGTTGGGCTGGTGCCCTGCAGGGTCCTACCAGCAGGGCTGGGCTGTGGGTGCCCTGCAGGGACTCACCGGCGGTTCGTGCAGTGCCGCAGCCCCAGGCGGAAGGGGTCGTGCCACCAGCCCACGAACACCACGCCGGTGTCCTCAGGTGACCAGAAAGCCTGTGGGGAGAGGGGAGATAAGCAGCTCGAAATGCTGCTGGCTCCTGAAACCTCCCGTCTCTGGTTCCCTGCAGCTCCCCATCCTGACCTGGCCGGGAGAGAGGTGCTCTGGGATGCCCTCCAGCACCGAGATGCTGTTGCCCTCGATGTCCAGGACGCAGAGGACGGGCACACTGCGGGTGCTCAGCGTCTCGCCCCAGTCCTCGTGGTACACAAACTGCTCGCCCTGTGTCACAGTCTGGTCAGCCCCGCAGCCACACAGCCAGCCCCCAGCTGACCCAGGGTGTGGAGACCCCACCTTGATGGGTGCATCCTCCTTCTTGGGGTGCCCCGTGTCCTCATCAGAGGTGCCCAGCTCGGGGGCTTTGCTCTGGAAGAAGGACTCAGCCTTGGGACGCTTCTTCTCCGCCACATAGAGCAGGTGGGTCTCCGAGTGAGACCAGGCAAGGCACCCAAACTGGTCTGCGGGGGCAGGTCAGCACTGGCCACCCTGTCCCCTGAAAACCCACATTCCCTGGCATCCCCCAGCCCCTCACCATCATCGTAGACGCTGCCATGCTTGTCCAGCGCTGTCAGGTCGATGCTCTTCACCTTCCGGTTCTGATCCCAGATCTGGGGGCAGAGATGCCAGGGCGGTCCCAAGACACGGTGTGGTTCCAGCCCCAAACCCCAGTGAATATATCCATTTTCCCTGGGAACCCTCCTCACCTCCAGGAACTGCTTCTCCTTCTCCTTGCCAGGGACCTTGCGCAGGACGGCCTTCAGCATCCCACTGGGGGACTCCCGGCTCAGCAGCCTGTGGGTGAGTGCCCATCAGCCCCCCCAGTTATCGCTTCCCCGAGGACCACGTGTGGGGGCGGGATGGGACTTACTCGTCCTTGATCTCAGAGCAGGTGCCAGCAGGCCCTGAGTAGACAATGGAGGCTCCATCGTGGAAGATGAGGTACTGACGGCAGAACTTGATGTTCTCAGCCCTTGCCAGGTCCCGCTGCGACCACTCTGCGGGGAGCAGGGTGAGGACACCAGCTGCATCCCCACCAGCCAGGCAAGGACTCCCCGGACCCCTCCTTCCCCCCCAGTCCTCCCCACCCCCGTACCGGTGCAGAGGCTGCAGTACTTGCCCCCGTACTGGGTGGTGAGGTCGGGGCCGAGGCAGGCAGCGCTGAGCCCCGGGTGCTGGCTCAGCTCTCGGTACAGCTCCGACAGCTCCTCCGCACGCGGCTGCACCTGCGGGACACGCCGGGGTCACGGTCCGGGGAGTAATGGAGCACAGGGCACTTACTGGGGCTCCAGCACAGACGGGGGGGATTTTGGGGGTACATGGGGGGAGGAGAGTAGTGCCGGACTGGGGCGGCACCGGGGGTGCACAGCCAGGACACTATGGGGTTCCAGGGACCAGGAGGGCACTGCAGAGCAGACACGGGGTACACAGCCGGAGAGGAGGGTCCTGGGCAGCTGCTGGGGTGCCCGTGGTACAGGACACTCAGTGCAGGTCCTGGGGGGCAAGGGCGCCTAGGAGGGTCCTGCAGCAGTCGGGGTCTGTGGGGGGTCTAGAAGGGTACCGGGGCAGTTCCCGGGGTGGTGCCGAGCCGGAGAGTCAGCGGAGCAGCGGGGCCGGGGGTGCCGGGCTCGCGGGGGCGGTGCGGGACGGGACTCCCGAGGGAGGGACGGGAGGGGGCAGCGGCACCGACGGGCGGGGGGATCCCGGGGCTCTGACGTCACCCCCCCATCCCCTCACCGGCGGCTCCATGTCCTCGCGGCGGGGGGCGGGGCCAGGCGCGGCACTTCCGGGATGGGGCGGGGCCGTCGCCTGCGGCACCTCCCCATTGGCTGCGGCGCTCGGGCCACCTCCCGCTTTGAGGCGCCCCCCGGTGGGCGCGGGCGGCGCTGCAGCCGCAGGCAGGGGGTTCCCCCGCGCCCCGACGCGTCCCGGCGGCCGTGCCCTCACACCGCACCGCCCGCGGGGCCCTCGGAGGCCGCAGCCGGGGGACAGACCGCGGCCCCGCAGCCTCTGGATCGCCCCGGGGTGGTTTACCCACCGGGTGGCTGCAGAACAGGGGCTCTATGCGCAGGACCGGGGGGATCGAACTCGAGAGGCACAGGGATCCCCAGCCCAGCAGCCTGGCTGAGGGGTATCGGGCTATCGAGGGCCCTTGGGACTGAGCAGCCCGGTCAGGGGGGTGAGATTGAGTCATTGGTGCCCAAAGCAGCTCTGCCTACGGGGATTGGGCCCTTGGGAGCCCATCGGACCCAGCAGCCTGGCCAGGCAGGTGAGATCGGGTCCTGGATGCCCACAGGGACCCCCTATCCCAGCAGCCCGGCTGTGAGTGGCAGAGCTCAACAGTGCTTGGTGACAACTAGACCCATTCCAGCCACCCCCACCACGGCAGGGGTCCCGATCCCCCACCCCCCACACTGCAGGCAGGCAAGAATCAGGGCCAGTACGTGGTTTGTGTCAAGTCCTTTTTATTCTGTTCCCACAGAAACACCTGGTGAGGGGGCAGCTTCTGGGAGGGAGTCACGACACAGCGGCGGGGGTGGTACGGCACGGTACGGCACGGTACGGCACGGTACGGGGTCACTACGGGTGGCACAGAGCACAGCAGACACGCACACCGTCACAATGTTCAGAGGGAGCGCACCCGGCATCGCACTTACCGCTGGAAACGGCGCCCAGCCGCGCTCGGCCCTCGGTCTTTGCACCCCCCGTCCCCCCGCCCTGTCCAGCAGATTGCCACATCTCGGGCTGGGGGCCCGGCCCGGCGGGGGGCTGCGCGCCCCCGCTCCTGGCAGGCACGAAGGCAAGGTGGCGGATGTGCTCGGGCGGCGAGATTGGCCCCGGCGGGGGTCTCGGTCCCGCGTGCGATTTACACACTGTACAAGTATTTACAGCGCGAGGAGCGGCGGGGCCGGCGGCCCGCGGGAGGCACCCTCGGCCTCCGCGCTTGTCACCGGCGGGGAGAGGCGGCGGCTGTGCGCGGTGCCGGGGCTCTCCTCCCTGGGGCTGCCCCGGGATCCCCGACCCACAGCCGCCGGCCTGCCCCCAGCCTTGGGCACCGGCAGAGCTCCCGGCGAGGGATCTGCCACAAAGCGTGGGCTTCCCGCGGCAGCCGGGTCCTCGGTCACAAGTGCATAAATCTGCTAAGAGCTTTCAGTACAGCGATGGACTGATGGAGAAGAAAAAAAGAAAAGTCCAGGCAAAGAACAGCAAGCACTGAAAGGCGGGTGGAACCGTGCAGAGAAGTAGCAAGCCATGCTCTACGACGGGACAGACGGTCACGGGCGCTAGGGCTGCCCTTTGGCAAAGTGGCCCTCCGTGGGTCGAACATGCCACGAATTCATACGCACGGGTGGTCGGTACTGAATAGTTCTCGGGTCGCTCGGCGGCACGCTTTGCGATGGAACCCTTAGGCGCGACATTGAACTGATTAGCTATTCACAGGTCTTGTTCTGGAGTCGTGTTATTTCGTTGCATAGAACATCAGGCGGGTGAGCGGGCGGCTGCCCCCCGCCACGGGGGTGTCGGCGGGGCGCTGCCAGCGAGGGGAGGCGGCGGGGCGCGGGCGAGCCCCCTCCTCGGGCTGCCTCCCCCCCTGGGAATCCCCTCCTGGCAGGGCGAGTGGGCTTTGGCCGCCGGCCGCTGCGCCGGCCGTCCCCGCAAAATGGCTTGAGAAGGACTTGGATTGCACAGTAAAAGGAAGGATACTGCCGGAGGCAAAGCTCTCCTGATCTTGTTCCACGGGATTTGTGCTCTTTTGTAGCCTCCTGCACTCTATTGCTTCTACAGACGACAGCCCGTGTGCTAACTCATCGCACAAAGCAAAGAGGGAAGAGGATTTGGTATAAACTTTAGAAAAATAAAACCCCGAAACCAAAATAAAATGAACCAAAGAAACCCCACCCCCCGGTGCGGATGAGGTATACACAGAAATCAAAGTGGGATGATTAAGGCTGTTCTTGAAAGAAAAGGGGTGCCCGGCGGCAGGCGCGCTGGCTGCGTGGCGAGGGCGAGCGCGGCCCTTTCAACGCTTCCAATGGCTTCGGGACACGCACCCAGCCGGCCGCGCCGCCTGTCAGAGTCCTATGGCCTCGTATTTCGGTAGTGAAACAGTGTTAGGTCCTAGCTGACGCGCTCCGGGGCTCCCCGGCGGGGCCGGGCGCGGCCGCAGTGCGGGGGGCGCGGGGACGGCCCCGGCGGGGCGGGTGGGGTCGGGAAGGAGGAGCGGCGCCCACGGCGCCCAGCCCTCGGCTCGCGGGGGGGAAAAACCTATGAAGAGGCCAGAGCTGGGGTTCAGAGGGAGCAACTCTGCGTATAAACTTGAGAAAGGGCCGCAGCCGACCTACGGGGCCTGACCCCACGGTCCGGACCAGGCCCATCCCCTCGGGGCAGCTGCCGGGGCTCGCCGAGTGCCGCGCCGGAGCTGCTCGCCAGGCGTGGGGGGCACCCGCCCCGGGGCGTCCGCCGGGCCCCTGCTCGGCCGTCGTTTGGTCCAGCATCCAGGGATCGCCCTGTTTTCAAAAGCTTGCGAGAGACAGAGAAGGGGAGAGAGAGAGACAGACAGAGAGACAGACAGAGAGAGCGAGAGAAAGCAAGAGAGAGAGGCGTTAGTCCGAGCAGCCCGTCCCCGCGGAAGGGTCCCCGCCGAGCGGCAGCGATGGCCCGAGCGAAAAGGCCCCAGAGAGCCAAGAGGCACTGCCGGCGGAGCAGCTGCCGCCGCCTCCGCCCGCCCCCGCGCTGGACGGACTCCCGGAGCAGAGCCCGCACCACCCAAAGCTTCCCTGGAAACCCAGGGTCTGCACCAGCGCTGCCGAGGCTGTGGAACAAGGCCAAGCCTCCACGCCTCGGCTTGGGGCCAGCACCTGGGGATGAAGGTGGCGATGAGTGGCCCAGCACGAAGGGGATGAGTCCATGCTACATCTTTCCCAGCCTGGAGGCTGGGAGCATGGTAAAGCAGGGCTCAGCAGGTGCTCGGGGGACAGTGGTGCTGCTGGAACCTCAGACATGGCACGGTGGAGGGGACTTGTGTGCAGGTGTGCCCTCTACACTCACCGTTATACTCAGAGTCTGGCGCCGCGTGCTGAATTCATTGGCTTCTTCATAGGTTTTTCCACTGCAACGACTCAAATCTCCACTCACTTCCCAAACTCCTGCAGTGGAAGGGAGGAGGAGGGCATCAGGCACAGCCAGGGCAGGGAGAGCCCACAGCACAGTGCCTGAAGCTGGCTGCACTCACCTTGTGCCGTTCTCTCACCAGAACGAAGTGAACTTCTTGCCGAAAGCTGACACCGCTGTGGGGAAGCCAGGACAGGTGTCAGTATGGTGTAGTGACCCTGGTCCCCCACCTCCCTGGGCCCCAAACTGTGGGAGCACTGCATCCCACTGGCTGCATCCAGCCATCTCCAAGGTGCCTGACTCCATCTCAGTGCAGAAGAGCACCACCGCCCTGTCCCCATCCCGGGAGCAGCCCTCACCTTCAGTCAGTTTGCCTGCTTGTTCCGCTGCCCCCCCTGGCAGGATTTTGGAGAAGACACTCTCTCCTTCCCCACCGGGCTGCCCTGTGGCCATGCCTGCGGGACCACGTGGCCCAGTCGCCCTTGGACCGGCCTTGCTGTCTGCTGGGGGACAAATGAAGCCACTGTTAGCAGGGGACAGGCCCAGCTGGGAGAGCTCAGCCAAGCTTTGGGGTGCCAGGCAGCTGGCATGAGGTGGGGCAGATGGCACAGTGCCACTGGGGCTCACTGACCTGCTGCTCCCAGGGGCTGTGCTGACGGCGCTCTCCCCGGCTGCTGTGGCACTTTTGCTGCAGGTTTGGATGTGTCTGTCGGCTCCACTTTTGTCTGGAAAGAGGAAAACTGCTCTCAGGGCTCACCCTCCCAACAGAGCATCTGCCAGGGGTGGCCCAGGCCAGGAGGTGACACCAAAACCCCCAAACACTGCTCCACAACCCCAGAAGAGGCAGCAAGGGATCCAGGACATAGTGATGTCCCCTCCTGGGTCCCTTCGAGGGGATGGCAGCTTCCACAGCACCTATGGATGTCTGTATTGGGTGTGTGAGTGGAATATACTTTACTTCATGCCTCCCATTCCCAACACTTCCCCTGCCAGCCCCTGGCCACAGCCAGCTGTGCCGATTCCAGGCAGAGCTGTGGGGTCAGGATGCAGCCTGGCCAGCTAAGCCCGTACTTACCGCCGGTGCTGGGTGTCCGCCCGGCTGTGCATGGAGTGTGGCTGGTGCCTTCCCTGCTGCCTGGGCCGGCCCTGGCTGCTGCTGCGGTGGCCGGGATGAGGGGGGTCCCTGTGTCCTGCCCCTGGTCTCGGGCTGCGCCGAGCTTGCTGGCTGGGCAGCCTGGCGTGCTGCCGGCTGCTGCCGCGCTGCCGGCTGCCCTGCCTGCTGCTGCCTGGCCGCCGGCTGCTGTGGGTGTGTGAGGGGCTCCTGCTTCGGCGCTGGCGTGGCCGACCCGTGCGGCTGGGAAGGTTTCTGTGCCTTGGGGGTGTCAGTGCCGTGGTGGTGAGCAGCGGGGCGGGATGACGGGGCGTAATCAGCGGAGCTGGGGCCGTAAGGCGCGCGGGACTCGGGCTGCTGCGCCTTCTTGGGGCCGGCTGAAGGCCCATGGCCACGGGGCTCATGGCGGCCAGATTCTCGTGGGTGCTGCTTCGAAGAGCGGCGTGGGGGCTCGTCGCTGGCGTGCCGGGAGGAGCCAGCGTGGCGATCGTACTCCCTGTGGTGCCGGTGCTCGCGGTGTTGGGGGTAGTCGTCGTGCTGCCACGGGTCTTCATCGG